CGTTCCTCTTCTCTGGTGCTAGCCCGTGTGTGCCTTGCACGCGGTAGATGCTCAGTGACTATCTCCTGAATGACTTAAAGAACAAATGAACTTAAGACATGGCTTATGAGGTAATGGATGAGCAAGCCGCATCCCACCTTCCTTCCAGCCAAGGTTAGGATGAAACGGGAACAGAACAGTAAAGGAGGTGCAGTCTTGAAATTCACATGGCTCACCCCACAGAAGGTGTCTGCCTGGCCCAGGCTCGGCAGCCCCAGCTGCTACTGTTCCTGTATGGATCCTAGGTGGTGTGGGTCCCGCTGACTTCAGGGGAAGGTGCATGTGACTCAGCCTCCAGCCCATGGAGGTCTGAGCCCCAAGTGCTTATGGAAGGCTGGGATTCCTCACAGGGTGCACTCCACGTGCCTGGTGCTTCTCGATGCTTTTCACAACCCACAACGGGAAATGCGTTTTGCATGGGACCACTACTCACATATTTACACATTACTTATTGTCTATTCTAACCTTCTAGAATCTCTAAAAATGTACTCTTGCAGTCAAAAGCTCCCTGGGCCCTCTGCACATCACCGGGATTGTCCATCCTATTGGGACCACATGGATTGAATTTCATTTTTGTTAGAATGTCTTCACAGGGAGTTGCTATGATTCCACATTGAAATGAAAGGCTTTTGAGTATGCAGAAAAATGCCAGAGCAGGGCATTAGGTCACAAAAACCAGACTCAATATTAGGGGAGCAAATATTCATCATAGGGAGAATGACCTTGAGGCCACATGCTTGTTTTTTTCCAAAACAACCACCAAGGGTTTCATGAGACTTAAGAAGGGAAGTCTCCCACAAATAGTTGAAGTGGGGTTGTTTGGTGACTGAGACACGTGCAAAAGGAAGGACCAGAGTGCACCCAGCCATGCAGCCAAAGGCAGGAGAAATGGCCACATCTCTCAGGATGGAAGAGAAATTCAAAGCACCAAGGAGCTGTTGTGACAGATTCTGGTGTTTCAAGAGTCTGCTGTTTGCTGCCATTCATTGTGGTGTGATTGGCTGTGTGTCTTCTTCTTATTCACAAAAATCATAGTACATCTTACAGATCAAGGCACTCCCCGATGCACTAAAGAACGCACAACTGAAACACATTTTGCAAGCCAATACTCATCTGTAGTGTGCAAGGCACTGTAAACATTTTAGATTTTATTCTTCATTTTTTAAACTCTGGCCATGACCTACTACATTGATTTCCTGGCACATTTAACGGACTGTGACTTGCAATTTGAAAGGATGGCGCTAGCAGCCATCTCGTCTGCCACGTGCAGGAAGCCCACCGGAGAGGCGGACAGGAGGCGTGACGTCATCCGTTGTCTAACTCGGTGCCATCTGACAGAAACACAACGCGAGCCGCAGATGCAGTAGACAATTTTCCGGTAGCCAGGTGAAAAGTGTAAGAAGCAGAAGGTGAAATTAATTTTAACAGTATGTTTTGTTTAGCCCAACATATTAAAAAATATCATCTTAAGCAATCAATATGCAAAAATTCGCCATGAGCTACTTTACATCCTTTTCTTCATACTGTGCATCGCTTACACTTACAGCCCCTTCTAATTCAGACTAGACCCATTTCGTGCATCTAAAAGACAAGAGCCACACATGGCTAGTGGCCACCATATTGGGCAACACAGCTCTAGAGCCAGGATCAGCAAACCTTTTGTGGAAAAGGCCAGATAATAACTATTTTAGGCTCTGCCAGCTGATGGTCTTTGGCAGGACTCCTCAACTCTGCCATTGTGGGAGGGCAGACACAGATAATACTTAAACAAATGGTTGCGGTTATGTTAGAATAAAAATGCATTTACAAGAACAGGCGGAAGAACAAATCCGGCCCTCAGGCTGAAGTGTGCCACCCTCTGATGTGGGTCATTCCATGCCTGAAGCTATCAATACCTCCAGACCCTCTGGTTCAAGCCAACAAACCCTCTTCTTCAATTCACTTATGATGATTCGAGTAAGATGGCTGCCGTCTGAGGCTCCTGCCCCCACTGAGGGGCGCTGGGCGGCTCTCAGAGGTCCTCTGGGTCCATTTCCACCCAGCCTTCTCGTTCGTTCCTCAGAGAGCACTTCTCAGCCTGCGCTGCCCATCGCTGTCTTTCAGAGAGCCTGGCACCTCCACTCATCTCCCTTTCTCGGCTCTGAGGCGTTGGCTGGGTCCTCTTGCATTTGAAAAGCATGGAGGGATGTGAGGTTGACTTCTGTGACAGCCAGCATTGTCTCTCATGGATTTGGAACCCCCAATCCAGGGAGTAGGGAAAATTGTCAGGCTGGTTCAGAGCAAGCTGGCCAGACAGGCGGAAGGGCCCTCCAAGTGCATAGGCTTCCAAGGTCTACAGAAAAGCATCCACTCCTTTCCTCCCTGGTCACCACTGCCTTGAGGCTGCAAGAGAAGCTGGTGGACGCAGGGCCATAGCATCTCTCACAAACACAGCACAGTGTCAGCCAAATGGCGCCAGCATCTGACTTCAGCTCCAGGAGAGGCACTCACCCAGCCCTGCCCGGGAAATGATTTCCAAATGACAAACATTAGCCTAGAGGTTTCCAAATGCCATTCTTGGAGCCAAGTGTTCATTATGGAATTAAGGCATGTAGCAGGCCTCCGCAGGTTTGCCTGCCCATCCCTCGCTCTCCTGCGGGTGATTCCTTGTCCCCAGTTGGTCTCAAATGATTGGGGGACACCAGACCAATGAGCCATTGCCCTGAGGATTCTGGACTTGGAGAAAGCCAATTTGCAGGGAGAGTAAAGGAAGACAGTGGCTGAAACACCAAGTGAAGCCAGTGGGGACGCAGCCAGGGGACCCGTGGGTATGCATGTCCCTGGATCTCATAACCAGATCTAGCCCGCTCTTGCTTTCCTAGTGGCTCAGTGGCTCTTACGGGCAACTCCAAGTCTCTCAATAAGCCCCTTTCTGCTTCAGCGGTTCCCAGTTTGTTCCAACCAGTACAGGCAAATGAGTCCTGCTGAGTCCGACTACATGAGCCTGATCTAACTCAGGTGATCCCGAGTCACAGTGAATGCACTGAGGTGAGAAAGGCAAGGGACACCCGGGGGGCTCAGTCCTGCCGGGGCAGCAGCCTGTCTGAGGCCGGAGGCCTCCAATGGTCCCATTGTCTCGGGGCTTAGTTTAGCTGTGGGTCAGCGCCTCTCCTGCCCAGGGGAGGAAGCCCCTGCTCACCTTCCCGGGTAGGTTGCTCTACCTGCTCCCCTCGGGATGCCCGAGCAAGTCTGCCAGGTGGGGGGAGCAGGAGGTTTGCTGACTCAACCTGAGTAGCCTGTCTGGGAATCTGAGGGCTGGGCCAGCTGGAATGAGATGAGACGTTAACCTGAAGAGAATTCCCTTCCCCGGCACTTTTCTCCAGAAAACACTTGTGACTTGTAAATACCACATGTTGTTTGGGGCATTATAGGCATGACGTGGGGAATGAACAACAAAGTCACAACAATCTGGGACAAACTTCTGGATAGGGTTGAATCGTCCCCCCAGAACTGTGGACTGTGACATGATTTGGACATAGATCTTTGCAGGTGTATTTAGTTAGGACAGGGTTAGGCCAGATTAGTGTGGGTCCCAAATCTAGTGACTGGTGTCCTTATAAGGAGAAGAGAGGACAGAACACACAGGACGATGGTGGAGGCAGAGGTCAGAGGTGTGCAGGTACAAGCCCAAGGCATGCCTGCAAACACCATAAACCAGGGAAAGACAGGGACGCTCCCGCCCAGAGCCTGCAGAGCAAGCACCCTGCCTACACACTGATCTCCAACTTTCAGTCTCCGAAAGAGAATAAATTTCCATTGCTTTAAGCCATCCAAATTTGTAATTTGTTACGGCAGCCCCAAGAAACTAATGCAGCGGGCCACCCAATGGAAAGAAATCCCTTAGTTGGGTGGTCCCCCTCTGTGGGGCCCCAGTGCCCACCCTGCACTCTGGTCTGCTCCTTCCTAGCGGCCACACGAAAGCCTCCCTCGGCCTCATGCTCCACGGGCCCCTCTCTGTCCTGGAGGGGGGCATCCTGCCGGCACCCACAGGCCCAGAGAGCTCCTTCCTCAGGGTTCCCTGTGCCCACGCAGAAGGCCCCATCACAATGATCTCAGAGGATGGTGGTGCCTGTGTCTGCAGGGTGCCTCCTTCTGCAGCGAGCTCCTGGAGGCCACCCAGGGCCCCGGCCAACTCCGCGCCAGCCCAGAGAGGCAGTCCGTGGACAGGGTGCCAAGTGCGAGCACTCGGTAGAGACAAACCTTGAATGTGCACGAAGCAGCCGCCGCTGGGGCTTTGCTGGCAGAGCAGGGATTTGAGAACAATAGTTCCTGTTGACCACGGGCTTGACAGATAGCAACACTGGACCCAACTCTTGCCACCTGCATGGATCCTTTCTCCTCACAATCCATGGGGGACACACTCGGCTCCCGTTGGATGGGTGAGCTGACTGGGGGTGCTGTGCCCAAGGGCGGCCAGCCTCCCCCTGTGCCACCCGACTCTCAGGTGCACCCCGGCCCTCCCGGGCTGTCTCCCTTGCACCCGCGGGACAAAGCCCATGGTGGTCTCCTCTCTGAGGCACCCAGCCCCACCCTCACTGTGGGAATGGGCAGCTGGAAACGGCCACTCGCATCCGTGACTTCCCTAAATCTGGACAATTATAGATCGTATTTCTGGAGCATACTTAGCTCATAATAGGACCAACTTGTTGCCACTCTTGAAACTCTTGCTCCTGGTGATGGAGGACACACGGAAGAGGCGGCTGGAAGTTCATGGTCTTCTCTATCTGTCGCATAAACGTTGCTAGCGTCTCCCACAGATCAGTGACAAAGGCAAACTGAGATGAGGGGTGCCCACAGAAAGCCCCCTCGCATTGTCCCTTAACGCCACCTCCAGGCCCATGAGAGCACCTCACACGTCTCCCCTGCTGGCAGGCCAGGGAGGGCCTCAGCCTGTTGTCTCCAAGCCTGGCACGACTAGCCAGTGCCAGCAAACGGCCTTGCTCCCTGCCCCCTGGTGCTGCCCTCTGTGAACAGGAGCTCACCGCCAGGCTTGCAAAGTGCTGTGAGGATCAAAGATGGGCCGGCACGCAGGCAGCCTCAGAATGGGCTAATCGGTTCCACTCCCTGTCACCGAGTGATGGAGGAAGGCTCTCTTCTAGGGACCTGTGACCAAACCAAAGCACAAACTGTAACCAAAATTCAAGCCCGAAATTCAAGAGTGCGCTGTGGATGGAAATGTGGCCCCCTTATACTGCCCAGGGTGAAGGCCGAGCCCTCATGGGGCTGTCTTTGGAGAACTAAGGTTCTAGGTGGTCAGTAGGACCAGTCCTTCCAAGAGAGACAGCAGGGACGCGTGTGCTCGGAGCACAAACTACGCGAGGACACAGCGGACAGACGACCATCTGCAAAGCAAGGAAAAAAGAACCAACTCCGCCGACACCTTGATCTTGGGTGTCTAGCCTCCAGGACTGGGAGAAGATAAATTCCTGTTGAAGACCTCCGGTGGGTGGTACTTCATTCAGCTGCCCTAGCAGACAAATATACAGCAAGCATCCCTGATCTTACTTACTGGTTTTTAAAATTCAATTTTTCAAATCGACTCCTTGATCAGTACCCTGCCATGTTCCGAGACAGGCACAAGGGTCTCAGAATCTATGTTTCTAGGGCAGTGGTCTCCATGGACATTTTCAAGAGCCACCCGCAAAGCTGTGAGGATGAGCCTTTCACATTTACAGGTGCCTGGCTCCTCAAGCTCCCGTTCCGGCGGGGTGGCGGGAGGGGGGGGTTGGTTCAGAGTTAGTGGCATCGGTTTGCACTGGGAAGCTGCTGTGACATCTTTGGCATGGGGGACACTGTGCTGTGTCCAGAGCCTGGTAGGGGATTCCTCACCGCACACTGCTTGGACAATGCTACATAGACGGTGCCGACCTCGGAGCTCCTCAAACCCTTCTCCCAAAGCATCTGGGACATGTCCACAGGCCTCAGCGGCATATTCTCCCCTGGGCAATTCCAAGGGATGTGCAGAGGAGATTTTTTCCTCTCTTTTAAAATGCACTTAGGAATGGCTGTGTTGGTAAGCTGGGGATTCCAAGCACTCCCAATTACTGGAATGTTCTCCCTAATTTGAAATGTTTTCCTTTCACAGCTCCCAAAAAATTGCACAAACGATCCCACTGTTCAGGTTTGGATCGGAGCTCCAGCGCTGGCTGTTGCAGCAAGAGGTGGGGCAGGCAATTTAGACACCCCATTAAGGCGATAAAAACCTCTTTCTGCATATTGAAATATACAAAAGGAGCAGGGACTCGGCAGTCAGCAGCATGCAAGCATTTCCTTGTGGGGCACCAATGAGAAATAGGCCTGTTGACCCAGTGGATGTACCAGAGGGGCTGGGCAGGTGACCCAGGGAGCCTGGACTGGGTGCAAGATCCACTGGGTCCCCCACCTCTCCATCCAACCTCCTGGGCACTGAGAACAGTGCCTGGGGCCTTCTCCACTTCTGATGCTTGTTGACCACAAAGAAGGTCCAATGAATCCTGAGACCACTGAGTAGGAACAGGTGCCCATGGCCAGGAACCCAGGCCCAAGGTGCTCCAGGGAGCAGAGCCGGCTGTGAGCAACCACCTGGGGGCACGATTTTGGCCAAACACAGCTCCACAGGCTGTGCCCCAGAGCAGCAGAGCGAAAGGACTGGGCACTCTGTGATGGCTCCCAGACCCCGAGGGTCCCGAGTCAGGGGGACCCCCATGCACCCCGGACTCAGGGTCCTGAGAACAACTGCATTTTCACAATGACAGCTGTCTCCTCCTAGGGCCTGACACTTCAGGAGGTGTCAGGAGCCAGGCACCTGTAAAGGTGACACTCTGCCCTGCTCACATGCCATCGTCCGCCTTGAAAAGAAATCGAAACAACGACCCCGGAGCAAAGACTGGGACTCTACCTCCCAGCTGACATGCCAGGAACTCCCTTCCTCGGGCAGGCCCTCCCAGCCCCGCTGGGCGCCGCAGCCTCGGCTGGCTGTGCTGTGAGCGTGGGCCATGCGCCGGGCACGCAGGCCGGTCAGCCCTGCCGAGGGGTAGCTCCGCAACCTGTCAGCATCGCTCTCCAGCCCCCCCAGACACACCGCCCAGCCGGAGTGAGAGGCGGGTTCTGGGCAAGCCTTGCCAGCCAGGGTGTGGGCCCAGAGGCCACACGGCCACGTCCTGAGGCCTGGGTGACTGCAGGGCTCTGAGGGGGTGCGGCCGTGATGGTATTTATCACAGCAGGTGTGAGGCCCCAGAAGGAGCAGCTCTCAGGGCCTGGGCCAGTGCCCAGGAGGTGAGGGGAGACCCCTCTTGCTTCAGGAGTCTCACGGGGGCAGAATGAATCCAGAGGAGCCCAAGAAGGAAGCAGGTCTGATTCCCGGGGCCCAACTCCTGTCAGTTGGTCCTTTCGCCAAGTGTTCCCTGGAGCCTTTGAGCTCCTGCTTCTGGCTGTAATGGTTCCAAGGACCCACACTCTGGGCGTATTAGTGACCTGCAGCTGCCACAACAGGCTGTCACCAGTTGGGTGACTTAAACCAAGAGAAATGGATCCTCTTACAGCTCTGGAGGTCGGAAGTCCAAAACCAAGGTGTCGGCACGGTTGGGTCCTTCCATCACTTTATGACTCCCTCCCAGCTTCTGGCGGCTTCCCACAGTACTTGGCGTCCTGTATTTGCAGATTCTTCCCTCCAAACTCTGTTTCCGTCTTCAGATGGTCTTCTCTGTCTGAGTCCCTCCTTGGGTCTGATAACAACCCTCTCCTTGGACTTAGAGCCTGCCTTGATCCAGTTGGATCTCATCTTGATCCTTGATTACATCTGCAAAGACCTCATTTCCAAATAAGGCTGAATTCTGAGGTTCTGAGCACAAATGAATTTTTCGGGGAACACTATTCAACCCACTAGAGTGGGTGTGGGGATTGCTTGTCCAGTCCGCAGTGCACAGTGCGGACACTGTGTCCACACGCATCCAGGGCTGGGGCAGGGAGGCCATGAGGACATGGATCCAGCTCTCCTCCAAGACGGACCTCCCTTTATTTTCTAACCTCCTTAATTTTTACTTTAATTAAGTCCAATTATTGCAACAACCCTGGTGAATTGAAATCAAGGATTTTTTTAGTTTTCTATTGCCATTGTAATAAATGACCACAAACTTAGTGGCTTAAAACAACCCAAACTATCATACAGTTCTGCAAGTCAGAAGGCCAATGTGGGTCTCAATGGATGACAGTCAAAATATACCTGCAGGGCTGGGCTCCTTTCCAGAGGCTCTAGGGGAGAATCCATGTGTGTGTGTCTTCTCTGGCTGCTCCAGGCTGCCCATGATCCTTGGCCATGGCCTCCTTCCTCCATCCTCAAGGCCAGCAAAGGCAGATTGAGTCCCCTTCACATCACATCACTCTGACTTCCTTTTCAGCTTCCCTTTTCTACTTCGCAGGACCTTGGTGAGGATACCAGGCCCACTCAGACAATCCAGGATCATCTCCCTACCCTAAAGTCAGCAGATTGGCAACCGTAATTCCATCTGTAATCTGAATTTCTCTTTTCAAGTAACCTAATGTATTCATGGCCCACACTCACAATTCCAGGAATTAGGACATGGACAACTTGGGGTGGTGGGTTTATACATCACTCTGTTTACCACGGGGGTTTTCCTAGATATCTTCCTGCTCTTTATACCTAATCTCACTCCATACTTGTCAGTGTACATCCTCTGCATTAATCCAGTTCCTTAAATTTAGTAAGACTTGTGGAGATGTGGTCCAGTGTGTGGTCATCCATCTTGCAGAACATACCATGTATTCTGAAGTTGCAGGTATGGTAGAAATATCAACTAGATCAAGGTAGTTGATAATGTTCTCATATCACTCATATTTTAACTGAAATTATTTCTCTATTTCTATCACGTGCTGAGAAATGGCTGTTAAAAGTCTCTAAGATTATAGAATTTTTACTTATTAGGTACATACACATTTATAATTACTATGTTTTCCTGATGAATTGACCATTTTATCACTATGAAATGTCCCTCTTTATCTCTTAATATTCTCTGTCTGGAGGTCTATTTTGTCTGATTTTAATGTAGCCATTCCAGTGTTCTTATGCTTACTGGTTGCATGATATACCTTTTTTCCAGGTATTTATGCTCAGCCTATCTGGGTTTTCATAAACCCAGATAGGCTGGGTTTATATTTAACTAAAATAGTTAAAATGACTATTTTAAAGTAATATATTTAAAATAACTACTCCAGCTGGGTCTTGCTATTTTTAATTTTTATTTTTAATTGTGGTAAAATACACATAAAATTTACCACCTTAAATGTACCATTACCATCTTTAAGTGTAAATTACCATTTTAAAATATATCTGCATTGTTCTGCAACCAATCTCCAGAATGTTTTCATCTTGCAAAACTGAAATTCTATACCCACTACACAACTCCTATTTCTCCACCCCCACCACTACTTCCAACCCCTTGAAACTACCATTATACTTTCATCTCTATGAGTTTGACTATGCTATGTAACGCACATAAGTGGAATCATCCAGTATTTGTCTTTTTGTGACTGGCTGGCTTACTTCACTTGGCATAATGTCTTTGAGGTTCATACATATTGTAGCCTGCTTCAGAATTTCCTTCCTTTTAAGGCTAATATTCCATTGCATGGATTTACCACATTTTCTGTATCTGTTCATCCACAGATGGACATCTGGATTGCTGCCATGTTTTGGCTACTGTGACTAGTCCTTTAATGAACAGATGTATGTACAAATGTCTCTTCATGTCCATGCTTTCTTTTTGCTTGCTTTTTCTTTGGGTATGTTCTCAGAAATGGAATTGCTGGATCATATGGTAATTTTATTTTTTAATTTTTGAGGAATTGTCATACTGGCTTATATACCAGCTGTACTATTTTACATTCCCACTAATATGTGCAAAGGGTTCCGATTTCTCCACACCTTTGCCAACACATGTTATTTTCTGCTTTTTCTTACTGTAGCCTCCTAATGAGTATAAGATGTGGGTTTTGCTTTTCAAAATCCATTCTGACGATCTGTGCCTTGTAAGTGGTATACTCAGTTCACTAATATTTAATGTAATTTGTGATATGGTTGGATTTAGGTATGCTACTTTATTATTTGTTTTCTGTTTGTTCCATCTGTTTCATGCTCCTCTGTTCCTCATTTTCTGCTTTCTTCTGGATTATTTGAATATTGTTTAAAATTCCATTTTAATTAAGCTACTGTGTTTTAGCTATATCTCTTTACATTATACTATTAGTGGTTGCTTAGGGATTAAAATATCCATAATATACAACGTTACCTTTTCAGTCTACTTAGAGTTGATACTGTTCCATCATATGTAAAATGTAGAAAATCTCTAACTGTATGGGTCCATTTGCTCCCTAGTCCTTCATGCTATGGTTGTCATGGGTATGATATCCACATACATAATAAACTCCAGAAAACAATGTTGTAACTTTTTAACAGTCTTATGTATTTTAAAGAAATTAAGGTTTTTGAAGTCTTTTATGTTTATTCACATATTTCCCAGTTTTGATACTCTTCACTAATCCCTTAAAAACTGAATTTCCAACTGTTATCACCTCCCTTCAAGTAACTTCTTTTAGCATTTCTCATGAATAACAACACATTTTCTATGTGTTCTTTAATCTGAAAATATTTTCATTTTTGAAGGATACTGTCCCTTATTATAGAATCCTAGGTGGGCAGGTTTTTCTGTAAGCATTTTGGAGATGTTGTTCCACTGCCTTTTGGCCTCCATAGTTTTGGACGAGAAGTCTGCAGTATTTCCAAATCATCTTCCTCCAGGTACAATGTATATAGTTTTTTTCTGACTACCTTAAAGCTTTTCTCTTTCTTTTGATTTTCAGCGGTTTGATTAGGAGGCTTAGATGTGGTTTTATATATATTTATCCTCCTTAGGGTTCACTGAGCTTTTGAAACTAAAATTTATGTGTTCACCAAATTTAGGAAATTTTTTGGCTTCTATATCTTTAGATACTTTTTCTGCTACATTCTCTGTTGCTTCACTTGGGATGCAAATTGCGCATATATTAGAACTTCTGATAGTTTTCCCGACACTCTGTTCATTATTTCCAATCTATTTTCTCTCTCTTCTTCAGATTGGACATTGATACTTTTTATATTCAAGTCGGCTGACTCTTTCATCTGTGGTCTCCATTCTAGTAATAAGCCAATCCACTGAATTTTTAGTTTTAGCGATTACATTTTTTCAGTTCTAGAATTTCTATTTCATTTTTCTCATAATTTCTATTTCTTAGCTGAGATTTCTACTCTCTTCTTTTACTGCCAGCATATTTTATTTCATCTAATACAATTATAATATCTCCTTAAAAATCCTTGTCTTCTTAATTCCAACATCTTGAGATCATCTAGGATTGTTCTCAGTTGACTGACTTTTCTCTTGAGTCTGGATCACATTTTCAAGCAAGTTTAGATTGTATCCTGGAATGTTGTGTATTGGGAATGTTATGTTGCAGAGATTCTGGGCTGTTTTAATCCTCTAGAGAATGTTGATTTTTTGTTTTAGTAAGCTGTTTTAATCCTCCAGAGAACGTTGATTTTTTTGTTTTGTTTTTGTTTTTGTTTTGACCAAACTTAAACTGCAAACTCTGTCTCTTTCGTGTCAGATCAAATCATAGTTCAGATCTGCTTTTATTTTAACTGCTCTGAATCTGCCTAAAAGCATGTGTAGTTAGGGGTTGACCAGAGACTTGGGTAGATCTGTTTTTTGTTCGGTTGTTTGTTTTGGTCCAGAGTTTGTAGAGTTTATTTACAAGAGGGCTAGGTCCATAGGAGTTTCCCTCAGGCTTGTTTCTAACACACCAGTGTTTTGCCCACCTGTCACAAAGCTCAGAGGCCTCTGAGCACGAATAAAAGACCAACTCTCTCTGGGCTAAGGGCAGAGGCAGCTGTGAGCAAACCTGTCTTCATTAGTTTGCCCAGGATACAATAACAAAATACCACATACTATGTAGCCTAAACAACAGAAATCTAATTTCTCACAGTTGTGGTTGGAAGAAGTCCAAACTCAAGGTGTCAGCACATTTGGTTTCTCCTGAGGCCTCTCTCCTTGGTATGTAGATGGCCATTGTTTCCCTATCTCTTCACAGTTTTCCTTCTGTGCCCATGTCCTGATCTCCTATTCTTATATGGACAACAGTTACATTGGATTAGGGCCCACCCTATGATCTCATTTAACCTTAATTACCTTTAAAGACTCTATCTCCAAATACAGTCATAATCAGAGGTACTGGAGGTTAGGACTCCAACATATGAATTTGGGAGGAAAATAATCCTGTAACACTGCCCTGTAAAAGCTGAGGACCACCCTCTCTTAAAAGGCTGTGATTAATTCAGTTGATAAACTCAATGGCACCCATGTCGTTACCATATTCTGATGAGAAACCTGAGGCTCAGGAAGATATAATCATGGAGCTAATGAGCAGCATGTCTGATACCAACCTCCAACATCAGGCCCGTCTGACCAGGAACCGACTTTGGGTCTTGGGCTCTGGTCTTCCAAGATCAACAGGTCATGGGCACCACCCACAGACCCCAAGACATCCTGTCACAGGACCATAAGCATCCGTAGGGTCAGTTCCCATACTGGATGGAGGGCACCAGATGGTTTTTGTGGGGCTGGTCTGTGGCTCAGCATCAGCTCCCAGCAGCCCCAAGAGTCTGGCCCGGAGGTGGGCAGTTTCCTCTCCAAGCCCCCCTGACACCCTATCCAGCACTTTACCTGAGGGGTGGCCCCTTTCTCACCATCAGCCTCCCCATGGCTGTGTGTTGCTGTGAATATGCCACATTTCAATGGTCTTTGATTTGACAATCAAAGGGAGAAACAGACACGGCTCCCTGATTGGTGTAAATCACTACAGAAGGTGTTCTGTATGGCTGCACACAGGTATGTGCCTTACCTCAGTGTGTGCTTTCCTTTGTCGTCCTCCACATGGACCAGGGCAGGCTTCCCAGAGAAGGAAGGTGCCTAGCAGAGTCTACAGTTCTGTCCCAGGGCATCCAGCATCCCACACTTGCCTCTCCCCACTGGGGACACACCAGAAATGAAAACTTCTGCAGAGATGTGTCCCACATGAGAGGGGTGGGCTCTTCTGAGGTGCAGCCAGAGGAATAAAGCAGTACCTGGAGTGAACAGAATTGAAATGTTCTGGAATACTTGGCCTCGATGTCATTTTAAAGTGCAGATGATACTGCAGAGCATGGCATGGACCTGCCTTGGGGCCACCAGAAAGTCTGGGTGGAAACGGAAGGAGTCAGGGCAATGCCATCGGCACCATGGGAGAGGATGGATAGCCAGAGGGGCTGCTGGCTGGTCCAATTCTCCACTGCTCTGTTGCTGGCTCAGTGGCATTTTATGTGTCAGAGATTTTTAACCAAGCTCTGCTACTGTCCCTCAGCTTCATTCATGCAATTATATTCATGCAGTAGATTCACGTACTTTGCCTCAATTATGCTGTCAGGGGAACCACCTGGCAACCCATTAATCCCCTGGCAAAGTCTCTGAGAGGCAAACAAATTCACAGAAGGATGGCTGACGATACTGAATTTCACCTGCTCCCCTCCTGTGGAAGGTGTCAGAGTACTCGAGCTCCCAGGGAGAAGCAGGTGGCTCAGGTGGCTCTGTCCTATGTTCTACAAGCTCACCCTTGCCACTGTCCAGCTGCTGCCAGTTCATCCCCCCCCTCAGGGAGGTGCCATATCACGGTGGGCAAACCCCAGAAAAAAGGGTGCAACGTGCATGCAACATGCCACCCAGTGTAGGGTCACAACAGGAAGATGTGCAATTACAGGGACAAAAATACCCCGAGGAAATCAACACGGGACTTATTAATATCAGATCCATAGGTGACAACTGTCAGACAATCGGTCAACAAGGCCTCGTGTCTGTGTGATCCAGGCTAACCCGTTACGATCTTTATGAAGTGTCCTTCTGGGGGGTCCGGATCTTCAGATATGAGGGGAAGCCCTGCCCTTTTATTAGGAGCTAAGCTCTTTATACTCTGACCATATTGCAGCAGGTTAGAAGTCTAAGCTTTATTGTCTTATGTTATTGAAAATCCAGATTCCGGCAGGCTTCTCCCTCAGGTCACGCTTTGTCTGCGAATACATTCTCATTTCTCCATGTACAGAGACCGTCTGGAGAGAGGCAGAGAAAGATTATGACTGTAATATACTTAAATCCAATTTATTTGCCTCTCAAGAAACTTCCACCCTCCACAATAGCTTCCTACCCGAGATGTTGTCTTTAATTCTTTGGTGACAGGGAGAAACATGCAGCCCCGGCTTCCAGCAGGTATGGGCAGAGCAGGATGACATGGGTCCCCAGATGTCCGGGCCAGCGGGTGGCGGGAGTGCCCCAGGTGGAGGACCAGCACGGACTCAGGTTTCTGGCTCAGAACTTCTCATTTGTTGATTGGGGATAAATCCTCAGTTGCATGTGGTCACGGGAAGAGAAATACATTCACTAGAGAATAACAGGTTTAGGAAAGATCACCGGCCCCTCGACTTTGGCCACAGGCCCCCCCACTTCTGTTCTAAGTCAGTCAGGAGCGTGCATCTATCTGCTGGCTGCCATCTCCTGCCCAGGATTCTGCCCCAGCAGGGTGGTCCTTCAAGTCACAGTCAAGGTCTTCATTAGCCCGTGTTAACATTTCCTCCAGACTTGGCCTCTGGACACAGGCATGTAGGCTGGGAGGAAAATGATTCGGGGGGATTATTTTCTTCATTACCATTTGTTCAATTTAAATGATGGGATGCAAAGACCAGCCAGGGCAATCAGGAGGTATGGGCGAGGTCCAGGGCCTGGAGGGTGCCCAGCCACAGCCCCAGTCCCTCCCCGCCCCCCCGCCCTGGCCTCGGACTGCCCAGTTCACAAGGTTGGCACTAGGCTGCCCTCCTGACTATCATCTGCAGGCCCTGCCCGCCGCCCATTCAGTGCTCCTTGGGACACAACCACTGAGCATCAACCATGTGCGCTCTCCCGTGATAGGCGTCCACAGGGGGAGGAGGCCGGTGAGGCAACCCGGAAGGAAGCCATGAACCGCCGGGTTCTGAGCTCGGAGACAGGGTCCCGGCTGGCAGGGAGGACCCAGGAGAAGCCTGGGAGAGGCTGGGCACAGTGAGTAACTGCTGCCAGTTTGCCTGGAACGTCCCCATGTTAGCACCAAAAATCATGTGTCCCTGGAGACCCTCAGTCACAGACAGATTGGGAGAGTTGCTCACCTAGTAGCCAGGAATGGAGACAGAAGCCCCGACCAGTGCTGCTCTGTCCCATATGACTGGGCCCTCAAGGCAGCTTACAACCTGGGCCTGTTGTCTCATTCGTAAACCGCGGGCGATAAGGATGCCTCTTTACCTCTAAGAAACCTCATGGCTTCTCATACCCTATTTTGTGTGGGTACAGGCACTTGGGATGACCATGAATTGCTGTCCCCAGAGAGCTAATGGCATGATCCAGTGACAGATGTGGCAAAGTGCACAGCATCGAGGGCATGGGGTTTGGGATAAGAGACTGGCCTGCCAGGGGACGCTGGCTCCAAAGCCAACGGTAGGCTGTGAGGGTGCCCCAGGAAGGAACGCCCGGTCCTCTGCCCCTCTCCCTTCTCCTGGGATGATTATGAGAGTGGACGTGTCTGTGGGGATGCCAGGAGCTGCGGCTGGAGCAGTCTGAGCCTGGGTGCCACCTCTTTAAGGGAATGCTGGGAAATCTGGCTGCCAGCAGCATCAGCAGGCCTGGGGTCAGGGGCCCCAGACCCCACTCCCTATTGGGCTAGAGATGCCCTTGTGCCAGCCAGCAGCTTGCCAAGCAGCCCACAGAGCTCCCATAACTGCATCCTAACATCTGCTTGTCTGCCATGCAAGGCACGTGTGAACATTTGACTCTCTCCAAGGTGAAGGCCATGTCAAGGCCCCTTTGACAAAGCAGCTGAGGCAGTGGGTCATTTGGTTCACGGACACCAAGTAGTGGTGTCAAATTCTTACAATTCTTATTCTTCCAAAGAGAAATAAGACAGCATTAAAGGCCTCTGGTGATTCTCCCCTGCCCTGCCCCGTCCCGCACCTTACTCAAAGGAACAGCATGCAGAGGCCACTGTGGTGAAGCAGGAGGCCCAGCGTTTGGGGGGCACTGAGGGCTAGGGGGGCTTTGGGGAACTGTGCAGGCCCCCTTCCTCAGGGGAACACTCCTGGGCAGGAGCCAACACACAAAGGGATGCTAAGCCTTGGTGAGGACCCCACAGCCACCCCCAGACCTCTGAGGTGGGTGAAAGGTGCTGCACGGACCCAAATGGCATCACCTCCTTCTGACCCCTGAAGGGCAGTCTGCGACATCGGTTTTACTTGGAAAGAGACAGCGCTCCTGAGCTGACATCTTGCCTGGGAGAAGCTGTGCTGGAGACAGAATGTGAAGCAGCAAACCCCTACATGCCGGTGCTCTCACCTCCGAGCACACACGGCTCCACATGCTGAAGCCTCTCGGGACGCCAAAGTTTCCACATACACAGTCTGGGCTCAGGAGGTCCTTTCGGAGGTCTGGGGAGCAAGGCTCAAAAGGCACCTTTGGGCACAAATCTATACATAGACTCACTTCCCAGGAAAGCCACAAATTAACCAAAGAGCAGGAACATTTTACATATTAATAGATTTTACCAAATTGTCATCCAAAATGATCGTAACACCGTTTACAGCTACCAAGAGTGACTGAGTGCCTTTTCCACATCTTCACCAGCACTAAGTATTATGCTTTTAAAAAGAATTCTTGCTAATTTGATAGTAAGCTATCTAGATTAGATTTGCATACTCTAGCGTATGAATTTTAGCATTTTTGCCATAGGCAAAATTCAAGAGCAACCTCAGTGTCTATCAATAGTATACTGGCTATGAGAATTATTGTTTGTCTTAAAATGATGAGCCAGATCTGCGCTGATGCATACTCACATGCATGCATACACACACACACACACACACACACACACACACACACACACCCCACCAGGCAGAGTGTTGTGGGCATCCGGGTAGGGGGTGGGGTGGAGGAAGACATGAGATAGAGCACTGCCTGGGTTTCGGGGCCGGACCAGGGTTTGTGCTAAGTCAGACACTGTGTAGTCGCCAGGTCGATGGAAAGATCATTCTGCAAGTCTGCAAGTGTTAGCTACTCAGAGCAGTCTGGATGGAACTACGTTAACTGACAAAGGAAATATATTAGAAAACAAAAACTCTGCTACTTGGGATTGAATCTACATTCTTAGAAGAGTTTTATAAATGGGTTAAGTGCTTTCTTCAGCTCATTTTTTCAGAAGCAAATCTGTGATCCATTTTACTCTCCGTTTTCTAGAACAGTCTTGGCCCTGTGTGTCTCAGGGCTGGTGTGTTTCAGGCTGAAGCCTTGGAGCCTCTTGGCACTTCTCCTTGGAGCTGCCCAAGCCGCCCAAACCAGCCCCTCAGCACGGAGACTCCTTCAGCGCTGGCCCCCCTCCGCTCTCCCCGGGGCTGTGCTGCCCCCTCATCCCAAATGCCTGAAATCCACTCTGTTCTGTATCTGCTCCTGCCTTCTCAGACCCATAACTACTCAGAGGCACACGCCGTCTTCATCACTCCAACCAGATGTAGAAAGCCTACGTCTAACTGGTGTGGCAGGCAGGAAACCAGCCACGGAAGAAGGTCTAGGAAGGAAGGAGGGCAGACCTCATCACCTGGAGGAAAAGTGAGTGTGAATGGTGTCAGATGATACGAGGGAGTCACTGTTTTGTGAGATGTAGGGAAGTTAAAAGTGCGGCCAAGATATCCTCACCTGCTAAAGATACATGCTGGAGTCTTTAGGATGACATAAAACAATGCCTTGGTTTTGCTTCGTCCACCCCAGGACAGAAGTCCTCACAGAGTGAGAAGCAGCAAGACGGGCTGAGTCAGCACTTGATGAAGCTGGACGATGCACGGGGGAGCCCAGTCTCCAGCTCTACATGTAAGCAGATTTGAATCTCGCACAACACAAAGTTTTTGAAAGCACCGCCAATAGTAAAAAATAAATAAACAAGGGAGTTGAGGGGCCAATATACTTAAACCAAAATCAGTTATCATTATAAACATGTTGGTATTCTTAGAAAATCCAGGAGAATTAATTTGTTAAAATATTAAAAACGGGGGGCACCTGGGCAGCTCAGGTGTCAAACGTCTGCCTTTGGCTCAGGTCATGATCCCAGGGTCCTGGGATCGAGCCCCTCATCGGACTCCCTGCTCAGTGGGAAGCCTGCTTCTCCCTCTCTCACTCCCCCTGCTTGTTTTCCCTCTCTCGCTGTGTCTCTGTCAAATGAATAAAAAATTTTTAAAAAAAATTTTTTAAAAATCTTGAAAAAAAAAGAAAGTATTAAAAACGAGTAAGAAGGTGTTATCAGCCGGCCAGATCAAACACATCTATAAAGACCTAAAACTCCTCCCAAATACCAGCCACAGGAAATACCACTGGAAAAGATTTTTAAAAAGATGTCATTTATAACAAGTGCTGGGTCCCATGTGCATGTGGGAGAAAGCCCCTGTGTTGCCCTTTGCTTTCTGGGTCCCTGAGCAGCTGAGACTTGTGATCTTCCAGAAGACCCCACAACTCCTTGCCTCTGAACTAGGGGACGCTTGAGCCCTGCCTCTTCATAACCAGGGCATCCGTCCACCCACTGCTTAAACCAAAAGGAAGGACTGACGCCCCAGGGCAGTGCAGAGCTCAGCCTCCTGCAGGGAGGACCTGCTTGCAGCTTGTAGATGGTGGGCAGTTTTTTAGTTTGCACATGATAGATTTGAAACTCTGAGCGTTGGGGCTCACGGGCACCCAGCCCAGCGGGCCCTCGTAGTCTGTAGCACCCAACGGCACATCAGCCATGTGAGGGGCAGAGCTCCCAGGGCCTCCCGTGACCAGCACCTCTCAGCCTGCAGACTGCAGGCACCCAGCTCTTACCTGCAGCTCTCTCCCCTCAGGAGCTTGAGCTTAGTGGGAGATGGTCACACCTGCTGTGATGATGGCTCCCACAGAGCCACGGCCAGGGCCCAAGGGCCCGTGGAGGTGAATAAGACCCACCCCTGAAGAAAGTTTTGGACTGGACCCAGGGAGTTGGGTTTCCCTGGAGGGCAGGGACCAGCTTGATCTTCGGGCCTAGGCTTGGCCACTGGAGACCATGAAGGTGCTTCCCAGCAGGGCAGGTTCTGGGGGAGGCTTCTTCTGTCCTGCCCGGGGGTTGTGCTGCGGCCTGCTCTCCCATGCTCATCAGAGGACTTCCATCCCAA